TGGGGGGGGGTGGCAGGGCCCACCACGGTCAGCCTGTCCAGAGCCTGCACAGACCAAGCCCTCTGCACCCACACGCCACGTGCCCACATACACCACGTGCCCACACACGCCACGTGCCCACACACGCCACGTGCCCACACACGCCACACACCTGCACCACCTCCACTACCGGGACCCACTGAGGGTCACACTGCACGGGTGCAGAGAAGCCCTGTGCTATGGACCAGGGGAGGGGGCCATGTCTGGCATCTGCCCTCCCCCCCCAGAGCTCACGCTGGCAGACACACACACCCCTCCCCCTGGGTTCTGATCCAGCTCTGTCCTGTGGCTCCCTGGTCTATATCTGACCACACAGTGCCTGTCGCCCTCCATTCTTACTATGAAGTTCCAACAGCACCACAAGGATTGCTTCCGGGAAATGGCACTGTGCGCTGTCCCTCGTGTTCAAATCCCCAAATCGCCAGTCCCTCTATGGCCCCAGGCTTTGATCACTAAGCCCTCACTGGGGCCCCTGGGGCTGTTGGGCCTTTATTTTCCTCTTAAAAGAGCACTTCAGGCTGGAGGAGGGGGCTGGGGAGTGGGAGAGTACTGGGCCCAGGGTTGCAGCGGGGAAGGCGTGGACGCTCTGCGTCACGTGTGAACGTGCTTCCTCTGTGATGTGTGTCTGACCTAACGGGGCTGGAGAAGGCGTGAGACGGCGGAGGTGACGGCACCCATGGATGAGCACAGCCCACTGGCATGTCCACTGTGGGCGGAGAGACCATGCCCTCCTGGCAAAAACCAAGCCCGAGCTCCGACACGAGAGGCATGCTCGCTCCAGCTGCGCTTTCTGGCTAGGCCAATATGACGGGCTTAAAAACCACTAGAGACCTAAAGGCAAACCCCTGCAGTGAAGCACACCGGGTGTGGATGGACTCACGTGGCTATCGTACAGGCTCAGCGCCGCCTCATACTCCCCCTGGAGAGAGAAATCAGTGAGTAACCCCTGGGCAGGCAGACCGCGGGGCTGAGCGGCGAGCGCTGGCCAACACCGGGCTGGCACTCGTCGTCCCTTCTACGAAGGGAAGGGAAGGGAAGGGCAGGCCGGCCCTGGCGGCGAGGTCTGCGTTCTGGAGCAGAGCGGGCTTAGCAGGGCCACCAGCGTGGGATCCCCACCGAGGGCTGCGCTCCTACTTTTTCTCTCTGGCAAATGCACATGCCGTGCCAAATAAATGAAATAAATAAGAGAATACACTTTGAAAGTAAATAAATACATCGTCTCCACGAATTTCACCCAAGTCCCACAGTGGGGGTGGGGAGCCTCAGGCAGTTCACACTGGGAAGCTCTGAGGACGGCGGAGCTGGTCGGCAACGGGCGGGCACAGACATCTGCTCCTGGAACGCGCATGCACAGCGAGACCGAGCAAAATCCACCCCTCGTACCGTCCAAATACGCGCTTACCTTTTCAATCAGATATAAGGCCCAGTGCCAGTAATTGTGACAAGCGAGCATGTCGGAGTCCTAAGGGGAGAGCGTGAGCATCAGACATGTGCCTGGACAGAGCCCCCCGCTCTGAACACATTCACATCTTCAGTGCGGGAAAGTGCCCCTCCCTGGCCAGCCTGTGCCGGCACTTCGGGCCTCGGGGGCGGAGATGATTACGCCTGAGTTTTCAGGAGGAAAGCGAGGCTGCGGGGGGTGGTCCAGCGTGGCCCCGCAGCGGGGGCAGCACCAGGATTGACAGAGGAAGGGAGGCCCATCAGCAGCTTGGGCTTCACCCCTCGTGTGCGAGGTCAAGAAGGATGAGTGGACCTGCACCACCACGGTCACAATAAAGCCCTGGGATGGGCAAGCCAGGGTGACTCAGCAGGTACCGGCAGGGCCCACGGAAGCAGGCAGGGCTGGTCCTTGGGCAGTCACTGCCCTTATGCTATAGGCTGGCCCCAGTGCGAGGCAGCTGTACAGTAAGGCCTGTGCTGTGCTCGGAGCTGGCCTTGCTAGGCCCACCACGCTCCAGAAACAGGACTCCTGGTCCCTCACAGGTGGGAGCAACTGGAACAGATCCGCTGGTCAGTGCTCCACAGCTTCCGTCTTGACAGGGCTGAATCTGGGGCTCGAGGGTCTCCCCTGGGCTCAAGGCTGGGGTCCTGGGGCCACGGCACCCTCCAGGCACGAGAGGCAGGCCCCAGCATGCAGCAGATATCCAGTGAGCAACGAACTGAGCACGTGCCCTAGGGCCCTCACCTTGCACCCATGTCTCCAGGGGGCCCCTTTCCATAGAGCCCACCAGGCTCACCTGGCCTAGCCCCATCTCTGTCCAGGGGCCTGCCCAGTGGGAAGCCAGACCTCAAATGTAGGTGTCTCAGGCCCTGCAAAATCACAGAGCTCTGGGGGAGGGACGTGAGTCATGGGGACCTGACCAGGCCTGCTGCCCCTCAGATCAGGGGACATGGGCTCTCCCCTGGCCTCTGGGGTCCAGTTCCCCCCAGGGCCTATAGTCCCCAGTGTTGGCGGATCCTTGGAAAGGTCTGTGTTGACCCTCCCGGGACTATAGTTCTCAGACATTGCTGCACCGTCCACCTGCTTCACCTAAGCGCACTCCCAGGGAGCCCAGGACTGTCCCCCTCTAAATTGTGCCACCTGACATGCTCTGGGCCAGGGAGCTGCTCAGACGTGCAGTGCCCGCCAATCCCTCTACCCTGCCTGGCACTGGTGCCCCTCGGTCGCAGCCACTGAGCACCTGCTGTAGAGTGCCAGCCCTCATGGCACAGAGGGCAGAGCAGCACCACTCGTTGGGTGGCCAGGCTGCATGTGACTGGCCAGCCTGGGGACAAAAGGCACACAGGCAGGAAGGAGGGGGAGGCCCTAAGAGGGCAGTGAGCTGGCAACTGGACTGGGTGACACAGAAGTGGCAGTGGGAGCATGGAGCCACAGTGAGGTTGGTCATGGAAGGGGCTGGCAGGGCAAGAGCGGTCCGGGCGGCCTGACTCCCGCAGCCAGCTCTGCAGACGGACTTGGGCCTCCCTCCTGGTGATACCGCGGGCTCCCTGAGGACGCTCCATGGTTTTGTTTTTGGGTTTTTTTTTTTTTTTTTTTTTTTTTGAAAGTTTTTTTTTCATA